TTGTTGTTTTTCTAATGTTTAAACTTACAGACATACTTAAAACATCGTGGAGAAGTACTTTTTCACATCAATTTTATATATTTGACAGTTTCGTATTAAACTCTGATACTGTAAGCGATAACACAACGTTTAATTCCCAAGTCATGCCTGATATTGACAGATCTCACAGTATGCTAACAAAAAGGAAGAGAGGAACGAAGTCACGCAAACATAACATGAAACTTGACTGCACCAGAAAACCACTATATTAACTTATATGCATGATAGGATTAATTTGTTTTGGAAATATTGTACGTGCTTTATAAGACAAGGGGACATATTTTGTATTCAAGTTTCTTTAGCTCTAACCAAAATTCATCAGATGGGCCTCATTTTTCTTCTTCAAAATTCAATTTTGTATAGATTGACGAAGCCCCACTGTCACTTTACCAATACATTTAGTTATTTCTGCCGTTTTTTCCCCTTTACGACCTTAATCCCAACTACTTTGATTTCGGGTCGTTCGGTAATGGTTCTAAGCCAAAATATTTTACACCCAGGTAGCTAGTCCAGTCGGATGAGCATGTTCGGCGACGGATATTCGAACTTGCGACCCTCAGATTGCGAGTCGAACACCCTAAACACTAGGCCTTTCCAAGCTCACTTTACTACTTGTAGTTAATAACATATACTTCGAGAATGAAAGATAAGCCCAAAATGCACACCGTGTTAAAGTCTTATGAATATTTATTGGGTGACCGCGTTCCTCGGTAGGACAGCGGTACGTTTACGGAGTTACAATACTAAATTCCGGGGTTCGATTCCCCACGATTGAAACAGCAGATAACGCAACGTGGCTTTGCTCTAAAATAAATAAACCAAACAAACTGACTGACCGCTTTATTAGCTCTCTCTCTTCTCCACAAAACTCTGTAACACACTTCCTTTGTTTGCATGTGCAAAATAAACTAATCATGTTACACGTCAAATGATTGACATGAGTAATGTAATGGTCAATCTGTACGTGTGGGGATCTATCCAACTTTCACGGGGATAAGAAAGTATAGTTCTAGTGGTCCTTAGAAGCAGTCTGTGGACAAGAATGAGTGGAAGCATCTGATGTGATCTGCTGAGACTTTTTCGCCCTCTTCTGTATTTTTGTTAGATTGAAATTATTAAAAAAAAAAAACATGATGCTAGAGCTAAGATAAAGGTATGGGGAACGTTTTTGCGATACCAGGTTGGTTCTTTGATTATTTTAGAATGGCGAATATTAAGGACATGCACATACCATCTAAGTGTTGTTACTAATAAGACTCATCTCACAATTCCACAGTTTCTTTCTGATGGATAAGAATTCTACCAAAACGATAATACAACAATTTATTATTGACTTGAAGGATATGATGGTGACTTCATTCATTTCCTGTTCACAAGGCAAACACAAGATATCAATCCATTTTGGGGGTGAACTTTAGCATTTATTTTCGTTCTCTGTCGACACTTTTGAACCAATTTCACACAAAGCTATTCGACAAATGGACTAAAAGTAAACGTGTCAACTTCTAACATTTCATGGAGTTTATGTCATGTCGACTGGGGATTTAACCGTGGCCAAACATATAGATTCTAATAAAGTGGCCAGACGCTATATTCAAATATATGAATGAAATTTGATATTTTAAAAAGTGAAATGATTCAGGTATTCTCTAGATAAATGTATTCACTTTACTGTTTATTGACAGAACTGTGGTTTAAAATTGGATCCAATAACCGAACTACTACAGTGAGCTTTAATCATTACGACAAATATTCTATACTATACATGTCTTCTATGGTGTTTTACAAATTCACTTTTAGCATCCTATATTTGCCTATATGCTATTACGTTTCAGTCACATGCAGCTGCGCATGCGCACACATAAATATGATATAGTTTGATTAGACTTAAAAAAGCTCATATCATAAATATTTTTCGTAAGTACTAGGTTTGGTAGATTTCTAACTGCTTACATGAACATAGTATTCACGAAAAAATATATACAACAACGATGTACGTTTCTCTAGAGGCCTGAATTTATTATAACCGTTGTTGTTTGTATTGATAAAATAAACTTGTTTTTCATGTTTCACTACTGATTATCAACCTGTAATATTTATTTTAAATAAGCGTGTTTTAAACAGAAATTGCAGCTTCTAAAATGTTTAAAGACACACACACACAGTTTGATAAAAAAGTTCGCCTCTATTTTTTTTCTGTTTCATATTTCTGACACGTTGCACGATACACGCAACTTTCTGGCAGTGGTAGGTTATGTAAAATACATTTTTAAACATGAGGAACATGCTATACATGTAGATATTAAGATATGCGAACTATTATATTCTTTACGTTTTGCAAAAGGTAAGATGAATTTTAATGAACAAAAAACAAGTGTCACGTAAATTTAATGTTAACATAACGGCTTCTTGAAGTTAGGCACATAATGACGAGTTTTGGTAACGTATTGAAGGACGATCAACTTCAAATATGATTACAAACGGTCATACTTTGGATTTGATCTTGGTTTGGTTTTGAATTTCGCGCAAAGCTACACCAGGGCTATCTGCGCTACCCGTCCCTAATTTAGCAGTGTAAGACTAGAGGGAAGGAAGCTAGTCATCACCACTCACCGCCAACTCTTGGGCTACACTTTTACTAACGAATAGTGGGATTGACCGTCACGTTATAACGCCCCACGGCTGAAATGGTGATCATGTTTAATAGGACGGGGATTCGAACCCGTGACCCTCAGATTTCGAGTCGAGCGCCCTAACCACCTGGCCATGCCGGGCCTATTTTTCTTATTACCATCATATACACATTTTCAGACTTTTCAGGTCACCTGCCTTCCACATACACACAAAATGACAAAATAAAATATCAAGAAAACGGCGTTTGTTTTACTTGCATACTTGTAGTGAAGTCGTTAATTATCGATACCGCAACTGATGCCGGGCCGGATGTGATCTTGTAAATTGTTTGTTTTTGTTTTTGAATTTCGCGCAAAGCTACACGAGGGCTATCTGCGCTAGCCGTCCCTAATTTAGCAGTGTAAGACTAGAGGGAAGGCAGCTAGTCATCACCACCCACTGTGTAGCCCAAGAGTTGGCTTTTACTAACGAATAGTGGGATTGACCGTCACGTTATAACGCCCCCACGGCTGAAAGGGCGAGCATGTTTGGTGTGACGGGGATTCGAACCCGCGACCCTCAGATTGCGAGTCGAGTGCCTTAACCACCTGGCCATGCCGGGTACGATCTTGTAAATACCTACGGCATAGTCGGCGTTCAATTATATATACTGCCAATTAACTACTGTAATTAATCTTAAAGGTCAAGCCTTAGTAATAATTACAGTTACTGATGCTTTTGAATGGCGATAAATTTACATAATGTTGTTTGTAAATAATGCACCTTCGAACCTGTTTTAAAAGGTTCTTTATTATTATTATTAACTAACTACTGTATAAGCAGTAATGATTTGTTTGTTTTGTGTGCTATTAAACACCAAGCTACACAATGGGCTATACCGCGAGTATTACAAAACAAAGCAACGCAGTCATATATTTTGTAATGTGTAACTAGTTAAAAAAAATTATTCCAGGTCCTAATTGCAAAATATTCCAATATCGTCAGTTAATAGTTTGTTGTGATTAAGAAAATATCTTGTTTCATAAACCAAGTGTTTAGCTAGATCTTATAACCATTCAGCTAAATAGGTTATTTAAGTAAAATTAACAAATTAATTTACCATTACACCCGTATTTAAATAAACAATAATTCGAAATAAGTCAAGGAAGTCTATATAATTTGTATCATTGTTTTCTCTGATTATTAAAGTAAGTTTATTTGTTTATAATTAAGAACAAAGCTACACAATGGGCTATCTGTGCTCTGCCCACCACGGGTATCGAAACCCGGATTCTAGCGTTGTAAGTCCGCAGACATACCGCTGTGCCACTGGGGGATATAAAGGTAAGAAAAAACTCAAAATACAAAATAATCTTTATTATCTTAGTCTTCTAATATTATTTAAATTAATAAATTGGAGATAAAACAATAGGTTACAGTTGATAATACCAGTAACTGTACACTAGTAATTCCTCCATGCATTCTAATCATTATAGATTTTAGTTTTTGTGTTTATTGATTTATGATATTTAGTACTTCTAGTTATATATATCATTATTGTACATAATTTAAAGCTACTTTTTAGTTCTGATCTATAACGTTAACTTAGTTTTCATCAGAAATTCTTATTAATTAAAACAAGTGACAGATATTTTATACCTAAATAAAGCACAACAACAACAAAGTTACAAATATTTGCTGTATACGTTATGAATTTATAACCAACATACTAATTTTGATAAACGTTCTCAACAGATATTCATTTTTTTCAGATGTTGAATTTCTAGAAACATATCTTAAAAAGTATAATTAATGAGTGAATTGTTTTAGGAAAAGAACGTATTTTGAGTTGTTTCTTTGCAGAGCTGTAGAAAATGGCCTTAGTGTTCGTGTTTCGTAGCACACAATACCAAAACTGTTGCTGATGGAAGGACAATTTTGTAATAAAAAAAGAGAATGAATTTGAAATAGAACGTTGAAATATTTAGAAATCATTCAGCCTTCCTACAGAAAAACCAAGCCAGTTTACAGGCCTCAGAAAGTTTTAATAATCTCGCAGACTTTCGTGACAAGCTACTTCAATTTATCGGATTTTATTATGTATTTCTAGATACACGTGCAACTAAGTTTATCAGAAAAGTTCTTTTAATTACTATCGATTTTTATACATCTGTAAAAAATTACTACACTGTAATACATAAGAGCTAATATATCTAGGTAATCGCTACTTTAATTTATAGTTACAGGTACAGTTCAAAAAGAAGAAACGGATCTGGACTTTTTTTTTTAATTATGTACCTTTTGAAGTGCCAACATTAGTTTAAATTGTAATACTAGGCTTAACTCACCTTCCAGCTTCAAAGCGATGAAATGTTGAGCAGAATCTCGATTATTTTGTGCATAACACTGATATATTCCACTGTCTTCTTTTTCAAAGGACGAAATTTCCAGGTTGTGATCAGGGGCTTGTCTTACACGATAATTTACAGGAAGAGGACGCTGATCTTTCACCCAAAAAATGGTTTCCACAGGATATCCACTAACATTACAGTTCAATAACACTCGTTCACCATATTTTACGAAACGTACTCTAGGAGACCCTGGATTAATTTCCACTTTCAGGGGTGCTAGAAGAATTGATAAGCAGGCACTATTAGTTGAGAATGCCCAAATAAACTATAAGATAACTGGCTTAAAAACTTAATCTTTGACTAAAGCTACTTCCGAAGTAAATATAGAACGCTTGAAACGCTCTTTGCTATTGATAAACTTGATTTTATGGAAAATCCACAACATTTTTTTACCTAAATAAATTCTTAGTTGAAACGCAGGAAAAGTTGTATTACTGTTCAGGAAAAATAAAAATACTAAGTTCAACAGATATTATTCCTGATAAAGAACAAGATTAGCAAAAGCCTGTACAACCAGAAACAGCCAATATCACTAATCTAGAATATAATATATTGGTTTTGAGTTTTATTGGGATCAATGTTATGTATACAGTGTTTCAGTTATTTAAGTAAATTTGAGAAAAAGCGTGATTTCAATTATTCCTAGGGCAAAGAAAAAAATGCTATAAAAATATAAGGGATTTTTCATAGTGATGTTTTCTCATACTTTACTGTCTGAAAGGCTGGATATAAGCGATTTTTTATTGTGATATTTTGCCATACTTTACTGTCTGAAAGGCTGGATATAAGCGATTTTTTATTGTGATATTTTGCCATACTTTACTGTCTGAAAGGCTGGATATAAGCGATTTTATTGTGATGTTTTGCCATACTTTACTCTCTGAAAGGCTGGATATAAGCGATTTTTCATTGTGATTTTTCGCCATACTTTGCTGTCTGATAGGCTGAATATTAACGATTTTTCATAGTGATTTTTTTGAATGAAATGCGGGATATTAGCGTCTTTTTGTAGTGATTTTTTCCATACATGACTGTCTGAAAGGTGGGATATCATACTGAATCAACTTTGTACTTCTACAATAGATCCAATTATAGCCAACTCCTAAACATTTGTATCATCTTGTGCAAACTTCCAATTTTGCTTGAATCAAACAAAGGAGTAAACACAAAGGATCAGTCCGTAATAGTGCTTGGATTATGAATTCACTCTATGTGTAATATATATCATATGCATGCATTGAAGCTATATGATACGAAAAAACTCCTACGTCAGCCAGCTCAGTCAGCTTATTTTTCATACGTTATTCAGCATTCTATGAATTTACACGTAGTCAAGAAAATTGCATGTACAAAATGCGGCAAACAACATGCACATGGATAGTCTCACCCATAGTTTCTCTAATTTTATCGACTGTTCCATTGCATCTTCCAATTAGATTTCCTTGACATATTCTTGTCTTACTAGATATTCTAATCTACTTTTCTTTACTGAAATTTCACTCGAATTTGAACTTTTCTTTTGTCTTTTTTGTCTTAATTAGCGTATTTGAAAATGGGCTCGAGGTAAGAGATAAACTGTACGAGAAAATGTTTACCAAGACTGTTATTAATTCATTAAAATACGTTATACCAAGATGGTCATCAGTTTGTTAAAATAGGTTTTACCAAGATGGTCATCAGTTTGTTAAAATAGGTTTTACCAAGATGGTCATCAGTTTCTTAAAATACGTTTTACCAAG